TTCTGATCAACATGAATACTTATCTTTATTTCTCTCACTTCTTCAGGAGTTCCTAAATTAACCGCCTCAGTTTCACTTAAATTAGGTTTAGGCTTATTTTCGAATTGATCCAATCCCTTTTTTATTTCTTCGTAAGCTTCATCTTCATCATATTCGTCAGACTTAGGATTCATTGTTTCGAGATCAGACAACTTTTTAGGATCTAACTGTAAACTCCGCATGCATGTCATATTATTAAAGTCGACATTAACGTAACTGAAATGAAAAATAAGAGGACATATATTAGAAAGAGTAAGAACAGAGAAGATGATTGAATATGATTGTGAAACCAGAACTTCATTGCATTAAATGGGAAATGATAGAAGGGTTAACACCTAAGTGAGACAACTAGAAGGTTTGAATTACAACCCTGAAAATAATCCAAATAAACAAATTAAAAGCAGCAAAATAACACTACCAAGACTCATTCCTTGTAGGGAGAGGAGTGGCTTCCCAGTTGTTGAGCTGGACATTCGGGCCGATGAATTGCACATCCATATGACTAGTTCCTTCACCCATCTGAGTCATGTTTACATCATAAAACATGTCCTTGATACCTTGACACATTTTATCCACATCATCCTGGAGAGGGAAGTCTGGACTCGGTTCAACTCGAGATTTAACGAAAGATTGAGCAATATGAGGGATTGGCTTCAACATATTCCAAACATTTTTTTTATGATCTCTTGCCCATTTTCTATCAAATCTAGTTGGATTGAAACCCAAACCGAATGTCTCTTGATTAACCATTGGATTGATGGGATCTACAATTCCTTACAAAGACAAGCCTAGTCCCTTTCCAGGTTCGTAGCCGTTCTGTACCATCTAGGACACCACCATGACTGAAGCAGATGATAGATGAGGTTGTGGTATAGGCTTTCATTCCGAAAACTGATTGATTGTTATAATCTCAAAAGCCTGATAGTTGAGGGATTCACAACCTTTTTTGGCATCAGTGCATGGTATTGAAGGATCTCGGGTGATTGGGAGATCATCTTCACCATGGACAATGATTTCCAGCTTATCATGCTCAAACTTGACCACTTGGTGCAGAGTAGACGGCACAACTCTAGCCAGGTGGATCCATGGCCTACCCAAAAGTAGATTGTAAGAAGTATCCATGTCTATTACTTGGAAAGTGATTCCGAACTCCACTGGTCCAATTGTAACAGTTAAGTATATTTCACCAAGAGTGTCCCGTTTTGCACCATCAAATGCACGCACACAGACATTGTTAGTACGAATTCTGTCCGTGTTGATTTTCAACCTTTGTAGAGTAGAAAGAGGGCATATGTCTACACCCGATCCTCCATCGACCATGAACCTCTTCACATAGTGTTCTTCACATTTCACGGTTAAATGTAGCGCCTTATTATGCCCAGATCCTTTCAAAGACAATTCATCATCAGTGAAAGTGATTCTATTTACCTCAAATATTCGGTTGACCATCTTTTCCAAGTGATCCACTGTGATACTTTCTGAGATATGTGCCTCATTCAAGATTCTGGTCAAAACTTCACGATGCTCCTTAGAATGTATGAGTAACGACAACAAGGATATCTGAGCGGGTGTTTTCCTCTTCTGGTCAAAACTTCACGATGCTCCTTAGAATGTATGAGTAATGACAACAAGGATATCTGAGCGGGTGTTTTCCTAAATTGATCAATAACAGAATAATCTTGAGCTTTCATCTTTTTCAGGAACTCTTCAGCCTCCTCCTCGGTGACAGGTTTCTTAACCGACAACTGATTTTCTTTGGCTTGTTTGTCTCTTCTTAATTCTTCTGGAGCATAATACCTCCCAGAATGAGTTAATCCTCTTGTTTCATTTGTTTCTTCAACAATCGCCTTTCCCTTGTGGGTAACAACGACTTTGTTGTAGTTCCATGGAACGGTCTTGGTGTTTGTCATTGGCAGTTGTGTCGCAATTTGTATCACAACTGGCTATTTCACACTTTCTTGATTTTGACCAAATGTTCGAAGCTTACCAGGAATGTATAATTTTGGTCCATTCAACGGTACTTCTCTTCTTTTTACAGCTCTAGGGACATACAACACCAGTTTTTGCTTACTAGGAATGTATAATTTTGGTCCATTCAACGGTACTTCTCTTCTTTTTACAGTTCCAGGGACATACAACACCAGTTTTCTCGAGTCTCCAAAATTTGAATTTGCACCATTCACAATTATCGGTGCCTTTTGTATGGGTTCTAAAACCATACTCAACTCTTCTTTTGAATCACTTCTTTCCATTTTTGTTCTACATGTTTGCTCACAATCTTCATAAATGTCTACCATCCCCACAACATGCTCCTTATTGTGAGCAGGGAGTGGGTTATTGGTGACATTTGGTGCCTCCTCATTGCGTATCTCAATTACCTTATCCTCAATTAACTTCTCAATGACTCTTTTTAGAGTCCAACAATTCTCTGTGCTATGACCTGGAGTGTTAGCGTGATACTCACATATAACAGTTGGATCAAAGCCTCTTGCATTCGGATTGACAAAATAGGGATTGACAGGTTCAACCAATCTCAATTGTACTAATTTTCGCAAAAAACTCGTATATGACTCTCCAATTGGGGTAAAGTTTTCTTTTCGACCTTGTTCTCTTGTATAATCCGTTCGGGGACGTGGATTATGGGGTGCCTGAAAATTTTGTTGTTGGGGGCGAGAACCATGTGGGGCAGGTGCCCGCCAT